CTATGTTTCATAATTGGACAACCCGGTACACAAGTCATCCCGCGTTCACGTAGGGTTCCGAGGAAGGGGCGCACCCCAAGGGATGTGTTGTAGACAGCCTACCCTAATGCAAGCATTCGTGTCTATGTTTCATAATCTCGCAGAAATGTTTATTTTTCTACTGACAAGGTCATCTCTCATAACTTTCTAGAAATCTAAAACTGCCTATCAGATTTATTGATCCATTCTAGCATCAATGTAACAGACTAACAGGTATATAAGAATTGGAGAAGCAGCCTAATGTTGCAATTCCCTCCTGCAATGCAGGGTTCAGTTAGCAAGAAGATGGACTTTCTCTAGGATTTCCACTAGAACAAGAGGTCAAGACACAAATAGATACCAATTACTTTATCTTTTGTTGGTCAAACCGACTAATTATACATCAGAACAAGGGATAGAATAGCAGGGAGCAAAGCAAGCTACAGCTAGTAGAATGTATGGCTCAGTGAGGGTCAATGGATGCAGGGGCGAGACAAAGTAGCTTAAGGACAAAACTTTAGCTCTGATATGACATGCCCACAGTAATTTAGTTGAACCATTCACCTTTATAAAAAGAAACAATTTTCTATTACAGTAGCATTTTAGTCTATTTTACTAAGGTTTCAGATGCCAAAAATAGACTGACGATAAATGTAATATGAGAGATAAGACACATTCTGCTGCACCCTAATTGCAAGAACTATAGGATGATATCACATGATTAAAAAAGCACATCAGATATCTTTAACAAGCCAAAGTTACATATCGTTTCTTCTATTTGGAGCCTGTGACCTTGTCTCATTAAGTTTAAGCCTGCTATAACATGAACAGAATAGCAAATATTTTACCTAGAAAATATACGCACAACTCATTTTTCTGGACTTGACACTCTACCAATAACAGTATCATATTCCTACCAAATACCTTATTCTTTTATCACTGCAAAGCCCTCATAAGAAGGATTATAATACTCCAAGGAGAAGCTAAAAACTGACACTTTTAAAAGACAGTAAGTGGCTAAGGAAATGCAAAGTTTAGTTGCACCTGACATTGAAATTCCGAGTGCAGATTGCCTCCTCTTTACGTGCATAATCCCAATAAAGGTTTTTCTTCATAGAGCTTTCCCTTTTAGCCATAAAACTTCCAAGATTTCCCCCTTGTCAGTATCCTTTGGATTCATCAAATTTTGTACTTTACCCCATTGCAGTGACTTCTAAATTCATTGCTCTACTATTTCAGTTAATAATTAATCAACGTCTCAATCTCAAACTAGTTTGGTCTATCTAGTTCCAAGGTTTTATCATTTTCTAAATTAAATTGTCCAAATGACCATCAAATGCAAGCAATGCTCCTCCTATTCCCCNTATCTGTTCATCCTTTAATATAAAAAAACAAAATCAACTAAAAACACAATATAAGATCAAGTAAAATAAAATGAACACTAAAAAGAAAAACAGGAGAAAAGAAAAGGGAAAAAAGGAACCCAAATGGGCCTTTAATTTTTTTGTTTTGGGCCACAATATTACAGGCCCAAGATTCCATATGAAGATTCAGAAGTGGAATAGCGCCAAAAAGAACCGATTTTTTGTGACAGATATTTTCAGTTAATCTATTTTCTTATCCCTCTGTCAATAGCCTTTAGCATAATTGAGAATTCAGCAAAAAGAAATGAGTTGTTCTTTGAATCATTTACCTGCAATTACTTTGAAAAATGGTTCAGTACACAGAACTTCTAAAAGGGTGTCTGGTTCTATGTTGAATGCAAGAGCTATGGCTAAAGAATTGTACTTTAACCATGATGGTTCTACCACAAAGAAACTTCTGGTCATTATGGGTTCCTTTTTCTTTTGCTATGTTTTCTTGATTGGATTTAAGTTATATGCTCTAACAATGTAACAAGCTTTTTACACTATCAATATAATTTAGGTTAGTTATTAATGCAGGCAGGTGTGAATTTGGTGGCAGAGCTGGTTGGAGTCACAATGGGTCCAAAAGGAAGAAATGTAGTGCTTGGAAATAAGTATGGTCCTCCCAAGATTGTTAATGATGGTGAAACTGTTCTTAAAGAGGTACTCCTTACAAGCATTAACAACACTCTTATTAGTAGCGAAGCTAGAAATTTCACTAAGAGTGTTCAAGATTTAATATATATGTATGAAAACTAATGATTGACTTAAATATATTGTATAATTTCAAGTGAAGGGTATCCAACTGACCACCATTCGAAGTATCTATGCCCCTGATTGTTTTATGTTTAAATTTTATGGGGGTATTTGGTTTTTAACAAAAATTGGTTGGAAATTCATGTAACTTGGAATATGTAAATTGAAAGCTATTCCCATGTTGTAATGAACTTGGAGGAATAATGTTTTGAGTGTCACCATTAAAGGAGCGATTATGTTGTGTACTGTCCAAAAGGATGAGGAAACTAGATATCATATGTACTCATTTTTCTTCCCATCTTCCTAAGCCTCGGTGGGCCCGCTACATGTGTTGGTAGTGGTGGGAGGTAGCAGCTACTCGGCAAAATAGCCGAGGTGTGTACAAACTGGCCCGGATACCACTGTCATAGAAAAAAACATAGATACTCATTTGTGCCTCGGAATGTTTGCGCGTGTCCTTTTTGATTCTTTCGCAAAGTAGTTTAATGGTTGTAATTTTCTTGTTTTCAATTGGACAAAGGATTGCCTTTGACTTCTGAGGATAGAGAAAGAAATAATTGGAGAATACATGATTTTAATTGTCTTCAGGTCTATGGAGATATAGTGTGCCACCTTAAAAAACCACTTCTGCATAGTGGAAGTTACTACTGTTGGTTGTTTGAATTTCCATGTGTCTTGGCAATTCCTGAGGCCTACAGTTGATGTTTCTTCCATCCTCCTACTTGTTCTGCTTATGGTCAGTTCTGGTTTTGTCATTTCTGGAACTTAATAGGGAAAATCTTGGTTGATTTTCCTCTCCTTTTATTTTTATTTTTCATTGATGTGATTCACACCTTAAGCCTAATTGGATTACGGTATAAACTAGATGGGGAAGCAAAAAGTTATAAACAAATTGTACCAAGTATATCCATGTAGTAATTGTACATAGGTATTTTTGAATGCTGATTGAATATAGCTAAAAGTGTCTTCAATAGTAATGGTATATACTTCATGCACATGTCTCCTATCAAATTTAGCCTGTTAGATACAGTCAGGTTTTTGAGCTTCTCTAATTTAACTTGCTTTCGAATTTGATGGACTAGTGGTGCTTCATGTTTTTATTTCTCCACCTGACTATCATGCACTGAATATACCCATTGTTTTCAGTACAGATTCAGCTGGAGGATCCTTTGGAACATGTTGGAGTAAAATTGGTTAGGGAAGCCGGTGCCAAGACTAATAATCTTGCTGGCGATGGTTGCACAACATCTATAGTGCTTGCTCGGGGTCTAATTGCTGAAGGTGTCAAGGTTTGAATAGAACGGAATAACTTAGAGAACCAAGACTACTTTCATATTTCAGTTATTTCTGGTATAATGGTGATTACTTATTGTCTTTCTCTAGGTTACTGCAATGGGCGCAAATGTTGTCCAAGTGTCTCGTGGAATTGAGAAAACGGCTAAAGCCCTCGTTTCTGAGCTCAAGTTGATGTCTAGAGAGGTATAAGGAAGGACAAATTACTTTCCCTTTTTTGCTTTAGATGGAGAAACATAATTGTTTAGGCAAGAATATGCTTAAAATCAGCTTTCTTATCCAAGAAGTATGAGGCTGTATAATCTTCAACTTGTCCGTTAACAATCATCAAATGTTGCAGGTTGAGGATCACGAGCTGGAAGACGTTGCTGCTGTTAGTGCTGGCAACGATTATGCCATCGGGAACATGATTTCAGAAGCTCTTAGGCAGGTTGGAAAAAAAGGTGTTGTCACAATTGAGAAAGGGAACAATACTGAAACCAGTCTAGAAGTCGTAGAAGGAATGCAGTTTGATCGTGGTTATTTGTCACCTTATTTTGTAACTGATCGACGAAAGAGGATTGTGGAGCTTCACAATTGTAAGGTAGCAACTGCTTCTGTTAGGGCAATTGTAAGGTAGCAACTGCTTCTGTCAAGCGCTAGTGCCTGTTGTATATCAGGCATTTATAAGGGAATTTTTTTTTTTTGTTGTTGCAGTTGCTTTTGGTTGATAAAAAAATTACAAACCCGAAGGAGTTGGTAAAAATTTTGGACAATGCAGTAAAGGAGAAATACCCGGTTTTGATAGTCGCGGAGGGCATTGAGCAGGATGCTTTGGCTCCAGTAATTAGGAACAAACTCAGGGGTGTCCTAAAGGTAGCTGCTATAAAAGCTCCATCTTTTGGCGAGCGCAAGAGTCATTGCTTAGATGACATCGCTATCTTGACTGGAGGTAGTGTAATATGCATACTAAAACAGAAATTGTTAGTCGGTTATGTCTGCTACCTCATTTCTCTTCATGGTTTTCGAAGAGATGTTATGGCTCAAAGCTTCAGTCTTCTTCATGGATGAACCAACAGAACTACATGAATTTTGTCAATATTTAGTAAGGGCAGCACGGTGCACTAAGCTCCCGATATGCGCAGGGTCCAGGGAAGGGTCGGACCACAGGGGTCTATTGTACGCAGCCTTATCCTGCATTTTTGCAAGAGGCTGTTTCCACAGTTCGAACACATGACCTCCTGGTCACATGACCTCTTTGTCAATATTTAGTATTCTCTAAAGTCTTTTAATATCCACGTACTTAATTCATCGTGTCTCCGCAGGAACTGTGATCAGAGACGACATGGGATTGACTCTTGAAAATGCCCACAAGGACTTGCTGGGAACTGCTTCAAAGGTGGTGATTACTAAGGACTCTACATTGATAGTTACTGATGGAAATACTCGAGCGGCTGTTAGCAAGAGGGTTTCTCAGATACAAAAGCTTGTTGAGGTGCGTTCTTTAAAATCTTGCAGAATGTAGTAGAGTTAAACAGCTGTTTAGTTGATAAGTCATTTGATTTTGCAGAACACAGAAGAAAATTTCCAAAAGAAAATCTTGAATGAAAGAATTGCAAGATTATCTGGTGGTATTGCCATCATTCAGGTAACAAAAGATCTATCTCCCCCAGCATCTTTTTAATCTATTATAAAACATTTTCGATACCCACAGTATATTTGATTCTATAAGTTGAGATGTAGGTGGGAGCACAAACACAGGTTGAGTTGAAAGACAAACAACTAAGGATTGAGGATGCTCTCAATGCAGCAAGGGTAATGACCTGTTTTCCCAGTACTTAAAAGTCATGGTTGATTATACATGATCTGATGAAGAAAAAAAAATCTGTTTACGATTTGTAGTATCACGCACAAACATAGCCACTTTTCATTCCGATTACTTTATATAATAACATTTTTAATCTCAAAACAGCAATCAGCTCTAAAATAAGTAAAGGAGAAGTTCTGTTCAAAACCCTTCGGGGTTGCCCAGTTGGTTTGGAGGGCGGTCATCCATACGGATGACCTGGGATCGAATCCCCCTCAATGCCTTATGGATTGAGCCTGTCGCACATGACTTGCCTAGTGCGGCTTACCTCCCCTGTGTGGTTTGCAGGCTATTACACAGGGGGAGGTTTACCCAGTGCGCACTAAGTGTAGCGGCTGCGGGTTTCCCTCCTTAACCAAAAAAAAAAAAGTTCTGTTCAAGAACCTGTAGCTTCTCACCTCATTCAGGGTGAGAAGTCTCACTCCTGGGATTTTTTCCACACTAGTAGGATAAATTCGATTAATTTATCTTATGTCTAATCCTATTTTATGGGGTTCTACCAAATATTTCCTAAAGAGAGAATTCTTCAAAGGAGTAAGTTTCTCTACTTTGCCTGCTCAGGCTGCTACTGAGGAAGGAGTAGTAGTGGGTGGTGGCTGTTGTCTTCTGAGACTATCATCAAAGGTGGATGCTATAAAAGAAATGCTAGACAACGAGGATCAGAAGGTTAGTACTATGTTATAGTAAAGGTACATTATCTAGATTGTTCTTAATTCTCTAAAAGAAATTTGATTTCGTTAAACTGTCTCACTTCTCAGTTTCTTAAACTGCTTGCTTCTCATCATGGGAGTTGAATATTTGTGTTTTCTCCAACTGGTGCTGCTTTCGCTTATCTGATCCCTAGACTGATAGTTTCCTCGGACTACTCGCAGATAGGGGCTGATATTTTTAAAAGAGCACTATCATATCCTGCAAAACAGATAGCAAAGAATGCTGGTGTAAATGGGAACATAGTTGTAGAGAAGGTAGATTTGAATGTTGTGTCATTTTTGTAAAATTTGTTTCATCCAACAAAGTTACTAAACTCAAAATGGGAATACATCATCTGGTGGTTAACCTAAATCTTTAACACGTGCAGATTTTGTCAGTGGATAACATGAAATATGGATATAATGCTGCAAGAGACAGATATGAAGATTTGATGGCTGCCAAAATTTTGGATCCTGCAAAGGTAAGATAATCGATTTTTGTCCAATGTGAAGGGGAAACGTCCTCGTCTTCCACATTCTCCAGCAAATTATATCTTGTAGTATGGAAGGTGAAGAAATCTTGAAAAACTTCTAGAACTTTATCTGTAAGCTTGCCTGCAATCTCTGAGTCTTCTCCACGACAACCAAAAAAAAGGGCAGCCCGGTGCACTAAGCTCCCGCTATGCACGGGGTCCAGGGAAGTGCCGGACCGCAAGGGTCTATTGTACGCAGTCTTACCCTGCATTTCTGCAAGAGGTTGTTTCCACGGCTCGAACCCATAGTCCAGTTATATAACTGATACTAAAACACAACTCTGTTACCAAAACATATATGTATCAGTTTTTACTAGATGGTAAACAAGCTTTGTACTGTTAGTGCACTGTAGATTTCTTTAACATCTTAACTAACTAATGTATGAAACAGGTTGTTAGATGTTGCCTAGAGCATGCAGCAGCAGTTGCGAAGACCTTCCTAATATCTGATGCTGTTGTTATTGACATCCCCGAACCGGTATCCAGACAGATGAGAAGACCACCAATGCCAACTTCAGGTACCCTACCAACAAAAATAAATATGTAAATTGTCTAAAGGCCTCTTTCCATCTCTGTGTGCGGTCTGATTTGAATAATATAACTCCCAAATCCGATGTTTTTATCACATGAATGATTTGTAGGTCCAAGGCTCACTGATCTCACAGGTGGTGGAGCCAGGATTTTCACAAAGGGGAGTCAAAATATAAAGAATAACACACCAAGAAGACAAGAGAATTCAACAATATAGTACATACACAAAAACAAAAACAAAAAAATTAACCTAGCTACGCACTGCAATTTTCCAGCGTAGGTGACACCCCTTGGACGAAGGTAGCTCTGCCACTGGCAAGTGGTCGTTAGTGCAAACATAAATGAGATGGCTAATGATTGCTAAGAAAACCTCAGCTTTGAAGAAAATAGAATGATAGTTTTTCCACCAAGTGACACATTCCTTCTGGAATCCTAAACGGTCAAATCGCGCTTACAGGATTATGCTCGAGTAGCAGTTATACATGTTAGATGCCTTGCTTAAGCTCATTGCATGAAAGGGAAATGCATATTGAGGAAATATTTGTAAGTATCTAATATGTATGCCAACCAGATTTCTGAAAGAACTGATGGAAGAGCGATCCATGACAATAAATGTGGATTGTGTAAGAGCAATCAGTTCCATAGCCGGATATAGTATTTCTTTTCACATGTGGTTCTGCTCAGATCACTAGAAACACATGTTTATTTTACTAAACTAATTCAATGTAACATCACCAAGATCTGTTCTCCTGTTGAACTTTGATATGCAAAAATGTAGTATATGTTTCTTGTTGAATTTTCATATGCAAAAGTAAATATTCTCCGATTGATCGCTAACTAGTTATTACCAGGATCGTTTCTTTATAAAATGAGAGATTCTGGTTAAATCATAGATCACCTATGTGTTATCTAAAAATCGTCCATGTATTATTTATGATCGCCTAAATGATCTTTGGTTGATTGCGTATTAGTTATTTTCAGGATCGTTTTTTAAATTGGAAGATCCTCCTGATATCATATATCGCGTATGTTTTATCTAAAGATCGTCGTGTATTTTTTTATGATCTCCGGTTGATCGCTTATTAATTACGATAAGGATCATTTTTTTATAAAGTAGGTGATCCTGTTGAATCATTTATCGCATATGTCTTATCTAAAAATCTCCATGTATTATTTATGGTTGCATAAGTGATCTCCAATTGATCGTTTATTAGTTATTATCAAAATCGTATTTTATAAAATGGGAGATCATGGTGAAATCATATATTGCCTATATGTTATTCAAAAATCGCCCACATATTATTCATGATCGCTAAGTGATCTTCGGTTGATCACTTATTAGTTATTTCCAAGATGATTCTTTATAGAGTGGGAGATCCTGGTTAAATCATAGATCGCTATAAATTATCTAAAAATTGCCCATATATTATTTATGATCTCCGGTTGATCGCTTATTAGTTATTGTCAGAATCATTTCTACAAAGTGGGAGGTCACGGTGAAATTATAGGTCGCCTATTTTATTTTTTTTAATTAAGTCCAAAGGTCTCAGATTGATGGGGAAAAAAAAAAAGAAACGCAACGAATTTCTCCAATTCAGCTTAACACGAAGGAAAAGTATTTCAAACTTGAAACAGGAGGATCTTCTCCTTTTATTTTATATATAACTCTGACCAAGAAGACTCCAAACACTCAATAAGGCGGTCTTCTGATCTAGACCATTGGACCTCACTTTTCCTTTTCTTCTTTCTGAAGGACTTGAGAACACTGCATTCAACATAATTGCACGGACTCTCCAAAATGCTGCCGCACTCGCATCGGATCATCCAAAAATACACTACTTTTGAAGGATCCGACATGCACCCAGCAACATCTTTGGAGAATGCGAGCAACATAGGTGGCTTGTTTAGGTTGCTGACTAATCCCCATGGCCTTACAGAGCACTCTATCGCATCAATACAATAACCAATGGATCTTCTCGAGGGCATTTTGGAGAGTCCGAGCAACATAGGTGGCTTGTTTAGGTTGTTGACTAATCCTCATGGCCTCACAGAGCACTCTCTATCGCATCAATACAATAGCCAATGGATCTTCTCGAGTTCATGGCCTCTGCTAGTCTTGATCGAGCCTCGTGATGATGACTTAATAACGACAAAGTGGTAATTACAGCCCATCTTACCACAGAGTCAGCTTCATTCTCATTGAAGCACAACCATCTTAGCACTCTGTCCAGCTGTTGAACATCTGAGTGAAGTAATTCTGAGTATCCAAATACCAGGTACTCCGCTGCTAACCCTCCCAGTATCACACACAAAAACTTGTTCAAAGTCCGGGATGAGATTTTGGCCCTGATTTCCTTGCTTTTTAGCTTGCCTTGGGTAAACTTGTTGCTAGATATAGTATCAATGTCAACTTGTTTGAGAAATTCAAAGCCAAGAAACTGCACATTTCCTTGAGCAAACTTGTCCTGTATAATATCTTCTACACTAGGTACTTGATAACTTCTTGGTAAGACGCCGACAAAGTAACCAACAAGAAAATGCCCAGCCTCATGCTGCAAAAAATGCACCTCCTAAGCTAAAGGTATATTACATGAGCTCCATCATTTAAAATCTGTATAACAAACAATACCAAAAATTGAATGTAGAAAGAACAAGATTCGAGATAACTTACTGTCAACTCTGTGACTTGGCATGTATTTGAGATTCAAATGTGCAAAAAAACTAGCTACTAACAGAAGAATTAAAACTTGTATGCTAGTTGGCAATGCCTAAATATAAAAAAAATCTATTTCGATTAAGCAAGTTGCACCACTTAATCACTTATGCCCTTAAGGAGACACCTCTCACCATGCCCGTGAATTAGATGTGACACCCTAGGCTAATTTCACATCGACAAAACACAGAAGAGATGCTGGGAATATAAGTAGATAGGTCTTAGACTTTAGTGACGCGTCCCAAAGCAGACAATATCACTAGTGGGCTGGTATATTAAATATGGTATCATAGCCACTCCGAGTGCGAACCTCCGTGTAGATATGCTGGGTATATAAGTAAACCGGTGTTAGACCCTAGTGACGCATACTATTTGGAGTTCTGATAATGAAAACTGATAGCAAATTGTCATTGTTCCTTCAGTTAAAAAATCCATCATATTATTAAAAAGTCTTACTTGCAAGCACATTTGATGATCTTCGTAAGGGGAATCATAACTTTCACTCCCCATATCATCTTCTATTCCCGTCAATAAGACCTCCTCATCTAACAGAGCAAACTCGATGCTATGTTTAATTGAACGCAGAATCGAGTCAGCTAAAGATTCAAAAGACGCTGAATTATCCATCTGTAGTTCTTGTGCTGCTATTCTTTTTGGCACCACCAGTTTAACAGAGCCGAAGCCAAGTAGGCCACGGGGATCGTGCTGTAATTGCTTCATATGAGAGTGAGCAGCCTTGTAATTTCCCTTTTCTAACTCATTATCAAACCTTCTCAGTGCTCTACGACGTCGTATTACTTCGGACTCCTTCTCCCTCGCCGTCCAAGCGAAGGCTCTAACCACCGGAACGGAAAGCTCTCTCACCGCCAAATTCATTCGTTTTAATCAATTTTTAAAAAAGGGAGAGCTCAATTTTAATCAATTTCAATAATTATCCTCAGCTTTTATGGTGTGGCTTGAAATGGAGGAATAGTAGCCGTCTGTTTGTCTTGTTTTTTGACTCTTTTGGATTGTTATACAAATAGTAAATAAATTATATATTAATTATACGTATATTATACATGAATTTTATATATATTATATATTCGCCGACTATTTTTAATTTAAGAAATTAGGTGGGCGGCTATTTGCGTTATCTAAAAGTCATCCATGTATAGTGATCTCTACTTTATCGCTTATTAGTTATTATCAGGACAAATATTTTATGAAGTAAGAGATCCTGGCAAAATCATAGATCACGTATGTGTTATCTAAAAATTATCCATGTATTATTAATGATCGTCTAAGTGATCATCGGTTAATCACTTATTAGTAGAATCATTATTTATAAAGTGGGAGATCCTAGTGAAACTATAGATCGCATATATATTATCTAAAACTTGCTCATGTATTATTTATAATCATCTAAGTGATCCCCAATTGATCGCTTATTAGTTATTACCAAAAAAAAAAAAAAAACTGATGAAATCATGAATTTCATATATGTAAAAAAAAAATTACTCTATGTATTATTTATGATAGCCTAAATGATCTCTGGTTGATTGTTTATTAATCTTTTTATTGCTTATTAATTATTACTAAGATTATTTTTTTAAATGGAAGATCCTAATGAAATCATAAATCGGATGTATATAAAAATTGCTCATGTATTATTTCTAATCACCTTAATGATCTCCGGTTGACCAGACTAGAAGCTAGAAACTTTGAATAATTGCGGTTGAAACTTGACTCTAACCATAAACTAGCAATAGGTTTAGATTACAACGAAGTACTTACCAAAAACCTTGGCCCACTTGACTAATTTTATTCATTGTAATTGAAAGAAATGCACAATTAATCACTTGACAAATTCCTTAAATAAATTACAACAAAAAAAAGAGTATCTCTCTTTTTCATCACCTATTCTTTTTCTTTTTCCTAGAATACACCATACCGCGGATCCCATCCGGATCCGCAACAAAACCCAAAGGCCTATAAAACCCAAGAACCCGGGGCTCCGAATAAAGAGCAATATTACTAATCCCTTTTTCTAACAGCTCGGTGACTAATCTTTCCATCACAGCTTTACCTAAACCAATCCCTTGGAAATTGGGGTCCACAACAACATCCCAAATTATCGCATTAAAAACGCCGTCACCTGTCGCTCTAGCAAACGCCACTGGCCGTTTAGTTTTCTCGTACTCGATCCACGCAAGTGAATCTGTGTTCTCTAAAGCTAACTGAATTTTTGTCGTGTCGCGTCTTGGGAATCCGACGGCTACGAAGACGGAGTTGAGATGGTCGAGGTTGAGGTTAGTGATCGAACGGTGTAGATTGAATCCTTTTGATTTGAGAGATTCATCGGAGATTGAGATGTTTACGGTGGTGGGGATGGGTTGGTATTGAGAGGAAACGGTGACGTTTTGGTGGTGGTGGTGGGTGGTGGGTTTGAGGGTGAGGGGGGTAGGTGGTAGGTGGGTAGAGATGGGGTTATAGAGAAGCATTGTACATGATGGATTTTGGAAGGAAAAGAAGATGAAGTATATGGCTAAGTTATGTGTGAGTTCGTAATTGAGAGTATACGTAGATAGGCTTTTCTGGTTTCGAAGTCTGTGGTTCTCATGCAACGTTGTCTTTTTCATTTTTTTTTTTTAATTTAAATCTTCTGTAGGATGTGTTCCTCCTCTTCGGTTATCCTATAATCTTTGTTATTGAGTTAAAAGGTATTTTTTCTTCATATACACTATTTAAAATCTTATTAAACTCCCTACTCAAATTTCAATTTAATTACATGATCATATATAATTTACTAATTATATACAAATAAGTTTTAAATGAGTATTTCTTTATATTGGGAATTGAATAAGGAATATAAGTTATTTCCTTATCCCTTTATACTTGCCAACTCCCTCTCTCTCTCTGTCTCTCTCTCTGTCCCTCCCTCTCTATCTTCGTCTCTTTACTCTCCTTCTCTATTTTTTTATGTTTTTTTGTTGTGTATAGTTTTAATGGAATTCATCAATAGATTGCACTCGTTTTAACTTAGCAATTTTCTTTCATGTTGCACAATTGGTATTCAAATTAAAATTGTCAATCAATAAATTTTGAAGGTGTTTGACTCTCTATAATGACCCGACTTGTCGTTTTAAGAATTAACGCCCCGTTCAGCGACTTAAGTTCTCTAAAAATTTCGTAATAAGTATTATGACCCGCGGGTGTGGTCGAGTTTGATTTTTCGGAAGATTCAGAATTAATTAAAAGAAACAATCTTTAATTTGAAACTTAAATGGAAAGAGTTGACCGGAGAGTAGACTTTTGAACAAACGACTCCGGAATGGAATTTTGATAATGTCAATAGCTCCGTATGGTGATTTTGGACTTAGGAGCGTGTCCGAAAAATTTTTTGGAGGTCCGTAGTGAAATTAGGCTTGAAATGCCGAAAGTTGAATTTTTGGGAACTTTGACCGGGGGTTGACTTTTTAAAATGTCATTTATGACTTGTGTGCAAAATTTGAAGTCATTCCGAATTGATTTGGTGTGTTTCGTCACAAGATATAGAATTTGAAAGTTCAAAGTTCATAGATTTTGATTTGAGGTGCGAATCGTCGTTTTGATATTGTTTGATGTGGTTTGAAGTCTCGACTAAGTTCGTATTGCATTTTGGGACATATTGGTATAATTGGTAAAGGTCCCGAGGGCCTCGGGTGGATTTCGGAAGGTAAACGGAATAGATTTCGGACAAAGAGGGTTGCTGGAAATTTCTGTTGCAGAGTTGTTCGCCAGAAATTTCTGATGCGTGGAGCCAATTTTGGAAGCTTATAGCACAATCTATAAGGAATATGAAAATCTTTCAAACGTCAAAGTTGTAGCCCTTTGATTCTAGTTTTCAGAAAGTTAAACCATTCATTATTTGGACATTTGTATAGAAAGTTATGATGGATTGAATGAAGGCTGGTAGAGTAATTTCGTCAGAAATTTCTAATGCGTGGAGCCGATTTTGGAAGCTCATATCTCGCAATTCGTAAAGAATCGAAAATTTATCAAAACATAAAAGTTGTAGTCTTTTGATTCTAGTTTCCTTAAAGTTAAATCATTCATCATTTGGACATTTGTACATAAAGTTATAACCAATTGAATGAAGGTTGGTGCAAGCAAGTTCTGGTGTGGACTTTTAGTGATGGAAAATGGACTTTTAGTGACGGATGGGCAGAAACTTAAGGACCAAAAATGGTCATTTTCTTCATTTCGTTTTGGATTTTTGGAGCACGGTTTTTGGATAATTTTCACGGGAAAACATTGGTGTAAGTGTTCTTTATCCTATATTGATTATATTTCATGATTCCATACTCATTTACATCATAAATCCTTGAATTTATGGAAGAAAAATCAAGATTTTTGCAAAATCTTTCAAAAACGAAAATTTAAGATTTGGAGGTCGAGTTGTTATCAGAATTTGATAAAATTGGTATGGTTGCACTCGTATCGGAATGGGTGTTCGGATTTTGTGAAAATTATGTCGGGTTCCGATAGGCGGCCCCGTGTTGACTTTTGTTGACTTTTGTTGACTTTTTAGAATAAATTTTCAAGTTGGCGTTTTATTATCCGGAATTATTTCTGATGTATTTTAATGAAGTTATACAATTAATTTGGATGGATTTGAGCTGTCCGGAGGTCAATTCAAGCAAGAAGGCTATTTTGGAATATCGGCTTAACTTCAAAAAAGGTAAGTGTCTTGCTTAACCTCGAGTGAGGGAATTACCCCTTAGGCATCGAGTCTTATGTGCCATTTGGAAATGTGAAAAGCCGTGTACGCGAGGTGACGAGTACGTACTCGGGCTTATATGTGCAAAATTTATTGAGTTAAAGTCTTGGACATATTGTGTAGTAAATTGGATAATTATTGGTATATATTTAATCATCTAATTGCAATGCCTCAAATCACAATTATTGAACTTGTTTTTATATGACAATTCGATGTAATTATTACTTGTATAGTTATGTGATTTCCGTGAGTTTGATGATTTAATATTTCTTGGAATTTGATTTCATTATGAATTTTTTCTATTAATTAAGCAAGCTTAAGAAGAAGTGTTAATATAATTATATAAATTTAGATTAATGAAGGTGTGCCCTATGTTGATTATTTTTCTATCTCTGTTGATTATTTTTGAGGTTTTATATACATTGTGTAGAGTCTTGGGCTATTTGTTGTGAAATTAATTAATTTTATTATATCCTTGGAATTGGTTGTGGCCATTGGTCAAATTGTGATATTAATTGTTTTTTGTTAAGTTGCCGTGATACTATTCCGTGTAAATTGTTGTGTTAATTGAGTTATTATTTTGAGGATATAAGGGTGGCATCTCACTGTTGATATTATGTGGGCATAAGGGAGGCATTTCACTGTTGTTATGTATGGTGGGGTATTGTCTGGGCGGAGCAATAAGGGTGGCTATAGGAGTGATAAGGGTGGCTATAGGAGCGATAAGGGTGGCTATTGATATTGTTAGGGCGGAGGGATAAGGGAGGCTATTATAGGAGTGATAAGGGTAGCTATAAGAGAGATAAGGGTGGCTATTGTCAGGGATGATATGTGATTTTGTGGGGTTGCTGCGTTGGAAATTTTTATGTGATGTTGTGATTTTCATTGTTTCTATTTTTATATCTTGTGCAATTGGTCTTGTTATTGGTAAATTGGTAATAGTCTGATTTATGTTGAAATTGGGGTCTGTGGCCATTGCCAGGCGGATAATGATATGAAACGTGGGCACGAGGTGCCATGAGTAAATAATAATGATATTTGCACATGAATTGTCCGTGCAGTTGTGATATGAAATGAGGGCATGAGGTGCCGGAAAAATATGATAATTTAATTATAGGCACGAAGTGCCGTGAAAATATAAAAGTGGGCTGAGACCCGTGTTTATGAAAAATATGAAAACGGGCTGAGACCCGTAGTGGTATGATTATGAAATAAAGTGTCACATGGTGACTT